ACGTATTTGTTTCTTGTCTAGAGTGTAAGACCTGTGGAGGCAGCAATCACACCCATATTTTTCACCTCTATATCCTCAGCACTTAGCAGAGTATGGCACATAGATGCTTAGTGATCCTGAACCAGCTGTGACATGAAAGGGCACAGTCTAACAATTCAGGTGATAGCCCATCCTGGTTCTGCCATTACCTGCTTCGTGACCTTAAGCAACTCACCGTGCTTCTCTGGGCCTCAGTTTCCTCATTCAGTCACTAAAAGACACCGTCAATTCAACTATCTGTCCCAATATCACTTTCTCCTCCAAAGGAATCTGGAAGTCCTTTAAACAAATGTAATGGTGTTTATTTATTTATCAAATAGTTAATACATTCACATGACTCAACACCCAAAGGTACAAAGGAACACATGTCTCTCTCCTATATTGTGCTCCAAGGTTCTTCCTGGATGTACACAAGTTTCCCCTTCCTTCCTTCCTTCCTTCCTTATTCCACCCCCACCCCCCACTTTATCTTTATATTGTCCTTCACCATTTTGAAGCAAATCATAGCTTAATTATACTCAGTTCTGTATTGTGCCTTTTTCCACATGACAGTAATTTGGGAGGCTGGTCTATTTCACTGCATAGAGAGCACTCCTGTTCTTTTTCGTGGCATCCCAGTGTTCCATTGCTTTGATGTACCATAATCCACTTCACCAATCCCCTACGTGGTGGGCAATTAGGTTGTCACCAGCTTGTAGCAATACATCAGTGAATGATTTTGTGGACACACCATTTTGGATATCTGTAGAATAAATGGCCTTGCTGACTGAGTGGTAGGTGTGTTTGTAATTTTGATAGATGCCCCCTGTAGGGACTATACCAATTTATATCCCACACACATCAGCATTGAGTAAAAGTGCTCATAAAAGGCCTTTTAAAATGGACTTCAATAAGTTCTCAAGACTCCTTGTAGATGGATAAATTGCTCAGACTTGCTAAGACTGTTTCCTCATCAATAAAATGTAGTGGTGAAGATCAATGAGGTAGGGCAGGGAAAGTCCTTAGCACAGTTCTTGGCACATAGTAGGACCTCTCTGAAGATTAGCATTCCTCCTCTGCTGGATGCTGTCTGTCCCTAGTCTGTGAGCTCTGTGGGAACAAGGGCCTTGTCTGTTTCGTTTGCTGTTATGGCACAACCCTGGAAAATGGAAGCTGTCCAAATAATTATTAAGTGAATAAGTCCAATTTCCAACTTTGCTTTGCCCACTTGGCCCTGTATTATGACCTAGCTCCTGCCTATCTATTCAGACTTATCCCCTATCCCTTTCTCCCTGTATCCTTGGGATCCATCCACTTGCCTCCTCCAGGTTCCCTCCTGCCACAGTGCCTTTGCACTTGCTGTTTCCCCTGCTTCAAATTATCACCACCCTCCCCAATCTCTCCATTTGCTTAGTTTATTTCTACTCATCCTTAGGCCCAGGTCAAAGGTCACTTTTTAATGAAACCTTCCTCTACCTCTATTCCCTGATTTAGGTTGAGAGACTCTATACAATCTCACTGGACTCTGAGCTTTTCATTTGAGTCTCATCACAATTAGGAATGGTACCTGCATGAATGTCAATCTTATCCTTGTGACTGAAAGTCCATGAGACTCAGGGCTAGGCCTGTCATCTTAAGAGTTGGGTCCATAGGGCCTTGCACAGTGTAGGCACTCAAAAACCATGGACTTGAGGGAAAGAGTGAGTGCCAACACCCATTTTACAGAGGGGTTGAGCTACGCATCCCCATGCAAAACAAGGGAAGTCTGGATTCCAAGTTCCACTCTCTTTCCAGTGAAAAGAGCAACTTTCATAAGGTTCTGGTTGGTAAAGAAGAGAGAGATTGGACCCTTAATTAACCCCAAAGCATGATTAAATCATGGTCTCACTCATTCAGCAGACCTCTCCTGAGGCATCCTCTGAGGATCCTGGGGAGGGGAAGCCCACAGAACCCCTAACCTCAGTGAGAAGAGGAGGACCAGAGTCCTTCTAGAAGACCTGAGGGAGAGCCACCCTCCTGAGAGATCAGGTCAGGGATGGGATGGGGTCTTCTAGAAAGAGGGGCCTCAACAAGTGGAGAAGGAAAGCAAAGGATATTCCAGGCAGAAAGCACAGCCTGAGCAAAGGCTGTGGGCAAGTCAGGGAGTATTTGGGAACTTGGGTTCAAGGAGAGTACAGGAAGATGAGACAGAAATTGAACTCACAGATAAGTACCAGGAGATGTGTCTCTGAAGGCTCATTGCAGCACTTTTCCTTTTTTTCATTTGAAAATGTCTTTAGTTTTTATGTTTTTTTTCTACAGTTTCTTTTTTTTCAATTGAAGGTTAATTGCTTTACAGTATTGTGTTGGCTTCTGCCATACAACAACATGAATCAGCCTTAAGTATACATGTGTCCCCTGCCTCTTGAGCCTCCCTCCCACCTCCAACCCTCTCCCACCCTTCTAGGTTGTCAGAGAGTACCGTGGTCAGCTTCCTGTGTTACACAGCAACTTCCCATTTTACATATGGTAATGTACATGTTTCAACGCTGCTCTCTCAGATTGGCCCACCCTCTCCTTCACCCACTGTGTCCAAAGTCTGTTCTCTATGTCTGTGTCTCTGTTCCTGCCCTGCAAATAGATTCATCAGTACCATTTTTCTATATATGTGTGTTAATATCCGGTGTTTTGTTTTTTTCACTCTGTATAACAAGCTCTAGGTTCATCTACCCCACTAGAAGTGACTCAAATGTGTTCCTTTTTATGGCTAATGTTCTACTGTATTATGTACCACATTTCTTTATCCATTCATTTGTTGGTGAATGGTTCCATATCCTAGCTATTGTAAAATTGTGCTGCGGTAAATATTGGGGGTGCGTGCATGTGCTAAGTCACTTCAATCATGTCCGACTCTTTGTGAGCCCATGGACTATAGCCTACCAGATTCCTCTGTCCACGGGATTCTCCAGGCAAGAATACTGGAGTGGGTTGCCATGCCTTCCTCCAGAGGATCTTCCCAACCGAAGGATTGAACCAGTGTCTCCTGCGTCTCCTGCATTGCAGGCAGATTCTTTACTGCTGAGCCACCAGGGAAACCCAAATAGTGGGTTACATGTGTCTTTGCCAGTTACGGTTTCCTCAGGGTATATGCCCAGTAGTAGGATTGCTGGGTCATGTGGTAGTTTTATTCCTAGTTTGTTTTTTTTTAAGGAGTCTCCATATTGTTCTCCACAGTGGCTGTGGAGAATTTACATTTACATTTACATTCAATTTACATTTCCACCAACAGTGCAGCACTTCTTCTAAACCCCAAAGATGGAAAACAACTAAGTGTTTATCCTGAAAAGAAAGGGTCAGTAAACATGATACTTACAACCGCCACACTAGCAAGCCTTAGGAAGTTATTTAGTCCCTAATGTTGGGAAGGGTGTGCCTCACTGGTAAGAGTGTAAATGGGCACAGCCATGCTGGAAGAGAATGTGGCATGGTTTAGGAAAAAGAAGTATGCGCACGCTCTCCGTCAAGGCAAGAGCACGCTAGGGTGTTTGTTGTGGCACTGTGTGGCTGGTGCAGAGAAAAAGGGAACTCAAGCACCCACAGCCAAGGGAGAGGACATATGAAATGTCACGGAAGAAGTCTGGGGTTCTCAGGAACGAGAGATACACAGAGGATGTGGACAGATGGAAGGAACATTGAGATGAGAAAAAAAAAAGTGTAAAATTAGCACAACAGCACAATAATATCATGTGGATTATCTGTATCAACTATCTACTGAAACTAAACATACCTAGCAACCCAATCCTTGGTATTCATGCCACAGGAATGATACATATGTGTATGTACCCAAAGGCACACACACGACTGTTCATATCTGCACTCTTTGTAATAGCCCCACGCTGCAAACCACCGCAGGTCCAAAAGCAGAATAGTTTAATTGTTATGTAGTCCTCTGATGGAATATGCTACAGCATTGCATGTACACCATACACAACTACACCTAGTGACAGAGATAAATCCATGAACAAAATGTCGAGTGAAAGAAGTCAGACACAAAAGAGCACACCCAGTGTGATTCCATTTGTATAAAGTCCAAAACCCAGCAAAACCGATGTCCAGTGTTAAAGTCAAGGTGGCGGTTACCTTTGGTGGTGGATGGGAGGGCTTGGAGGATCTCCCTGGGAAGGGGCTGCTGATGTTCTGTTGTTTGATCTGAATGCTGGGTACAAGGGTGTGTTCAGTTTTTGAACATTCATAAGCTATAAAATACTTAAGATTTGTGTGCTCTTGTATGTGTTATACCTTAATAAGAGTTTTTAAAACACATAAACATTTAACAAAACTACTGCGTATTTTTCAGGAAATCACAAATATTTTAGGCCATATATCAAACACAGTAGAGAGGGTGGGCTCAGAATTGAGTGGGGGTGGGGAGGAAAAAAGAAAATCATATAAACAAGAGAGGGTCTTTGAAGGCTAACTCATGACCGTGTGCTAAGAGCTGAGTGGTGAGATTAAGTCAACCATCTGTGCTTTAGTGCATGAAAAGTAAATGTAAAATGTAATTTAGAAAACCAGATAAACAAATGAACTCTGGTGCTTATACACTGTAGAATACTCTGCAGCTGTCAGGGAATAGGAGAGAGATCTAAATATACCCGTCAAAGATGTCCAAGAGCACACGGAAATATACCCATCAAAGATGTCCAAGAGCACACGGGCTGCAGAGTGAGCATTTGTGTGCGACGCCCTCCTTCCCACCTTCCTACCCTGCCACGCATGTGATAGTCTTACATATGTTCTCTGGGTTCCTAACTATGTCTTTAAATGAACATCATCACACACCCAAACTGGGACTCCAGAAGGAACTGAGATGGTGGGGCTGGGGGGGATGTCAAAACTAAACTTTAGTCTTCTTTGTCATGTTTTCATACTCAATAAAAAGAATCTATTCATGGAATTTTATTTTATTTTTTTTATTAATGGAATTTTAAATGAATGGATTTTGTATTAAAGGTAGTAGTAAAGACCAGCTCAGGGAGGCCTGGAATGTTCCGGGCTTGTATTCTCTTTGAGGTCATTTAAGATTTTTCAAGTCAAGCCTTGGGACCATCTGTTGCCTGATGAAATCAGGGCGTGTGGATTTAGGACGCAGGTCCCCACCTGGCGTCCCCATCTGGCTGCATGACCTTGGGAGGGTCCCATGCCCTTTTCGGGCCTCAGTGTCCTCAACTGCCCAATGGGAGTCAGATTTCTTCATTCCCTGGGGACATGGGAGGATGGAGTGAGGGCAGGAGGAGAATCACATGAATATAAGGGATTATTCTCTGGGTCAGAGGAGAGGGAGTGGGCCTCCCCTCCACCTGCCAAGCCCACAAGGCACAAAGGAAGTGGAGGGAGGAGCTGGGGACCACCCCGAAGAGCAAACAACGCATCTGTGGGACAGGGGCACGTTGTCAGCAGCTGGGAGGCTGGGCCTGGACAACTCACAGACCAGAGCCTGTGGGCCAGCCACCCAGGCTGCCTGAAAAATTGGGATATTGAGCCAGCTTCCTGCTGCTCCTAACACTAGTACAGTCACAGCCCTGTCACCTCTCCAAGCCCCATCATTATCCTCCCATCCCCAAGACACACACACAGGACCGCACCATACTCACCATTAATCCCATCCTATCACTACAGTCAGAGAGGTTTCACAAAGGAAACCCAATCATGTCCCATGTTTGCTCAAAACCCTCCAGTAGTTTCATGCTGATCTGAGAACAAAAGCCAATCCCCTTGCCTTAGTGACAGGCCTGGCGTGACCTGCCTCTCCCATTCCACCACCTCCAGCATAGGGGTTAAGAGCCTGGCCTCAGTGAGAATCTGCCTTGCTTAGAATTCTGGCTCTTTTCTTCATTCATTCATTCAGAAATGTTTTTTGAGCACCTACTGTGGGCCAGGTAATGTTCTAGATATTGGGGATCCACCAGTAGCAAATGAGACAAAGATTCCTGCCCTCACAGAACTTCCTTTCCAAAAGAGAGAGATTAACAATAAATATAAGTACATTCAATAGCATGCTGGAAAGCGACAAATGCCGTGGAAAAAACAGAGCAGAGGAAGTTGATCAAGAGTACTGGGGGAGGGGGCATTTTTAAATAGAATGTTCAGGATAGGCCTTGTTGAGAAGGTGAAATTTAAGCAAAGACTTATAGGAGCTGAGGGAAAGAGACAAGAGGACTCGGATGGAAAGTGAAGGCAAAGGGAGCAGCCAGTCTAAATGCCCTGAGGTGGGACTGCACCTGGCTGGTTTCAGGAGCAACAAGGAGGTGGGGAGAGAGATGGGAGATGCTCGGAGGGGTAAAGCAGGTCAGGGAGGGCCTGGCGGGCCTCAGGGAGAAGTTTAGCTTTTACTGGTGAGATGGGAGTGCTGAAGGGTTCTGACCATAAAGGAGTGGGGGCAGGGGAGGCAGGACAGAGAAGGAGAGGAAGCCCAGCAGGGCTTATGGACATCATGTGGGTGGCTGCTTCAGCGTGATCCTAAGGGAGAACTCCAGAGCATTAAGCTATACCTCAGAGTTATCCATACCCACTCCTGCCAGCACTCCATGCAAGGAAGGTGGGTTTTCATATTCCTGAAATGATGAGCCACAGCTTAAAGGGAAGGTAAGACCCCACCTGGAGGCCCCAGTAGCCTGAGAGTGGTCCTCCCTTAGGAGTGAAGTGGGTGAATGAGGTACCATTATACACCAGTCAGGATGGCTGCTATCCAAAAGTCTACAAGCAATAAATGCTGGAGAGGGTGTGGAGAAAAGGGAACCCTCTTACACTGTTGGTGGGAATGCAAATTAGTACAGCCACTATGGAAAACAGTGTGGAGATTTCTTAAAAAGCTGGAAATAGAACTGCCATATGACCCAGCAATCCCACTTCTGGGCATACACACCAAGGAAACCAGATCTGAAAGAGACACATGCACCCCAATGTTCATCGCAGCACTGTTTATAATAGCCAGGACATGGAAGCAACCCAGATGCCCATCAGCAGACGAATGGATGAGGAAGCTGTGGTACATATACACCATGGAATATTACTCAGCCATTAAAAAGAATTCATTTGAATCAGTTCTAATGAGATGGATGAAACTGGAGCCCATTATACAGAGCGAAGTGAGCCAGAAAGATAAAGACCATTACAGTATACTAACACATATATATGGACTTTAGAAAGATGGTAATGATAACCCTATATGCAAAACAGAAAAAGAGACTCAGATGCATAGAACAGACTTGTGGACTCTGTGGGAGAAGGCGAGGGTGGGATGTTTCAAGAGAACAGCATTGAAACATGTATATTATCTAGGGTGAAACAGATAACCAGCCCAAGTTGGGTACATGAGACAAGTGCTCGGGCCTGGTGCACTGGGAAGACCCAGAGGGATCGGGTGGAGAGGGAGGTGGGAGGGGGGACTGGGATGGGGAATACATGTAAATCCATGGCTAATTCATTTCAATGTATAACAAAAACTACTGTAATGATGTAAAGTAATTAGCCTCCAACTAATAAAAATAAATGGAAAAAAAAAAAAGAGTGAAGTGGGTGTTGGTCACTGAACTCTTAACCAAGAAGGGCACACAGAAACAGTAAAGGGTCTCCAAGGGGAAGGGTGTAGCATCGTATTATTGCCTCCAAACACCAAAGCCCCAGTTGTCTCAGTCCTTTTGGCCTGGAAGGGAGGGCTTGCTAAAGATGAGGCACACCCCAGTGTGACCAAGTAGACTTTTCTGGTTAGGAAAGACTTAGGGATATCACCCCCACCTGAATTGTAGAGGGATTCGTGGTTTGTAATATCCTGCCTATATGGCAGCCCAGCCTTCTGGCATGGGAAGGTAGTTACAGTTGGGTTGGTTCTGTTCACCTGTGGATACTTTGGGTTTTAGAAAGTTCTGCCTCAAGTTGAGCCCAAGACTGCCTACTGTATGCCAGGAAATATCCTAAGTTCTGGGACCCAGCAGTAAACAAGAGAGACAAGATCCCTGCCCCAAGGAGCTCTCAGCTGCAGAGGGAGATAATTAGAGAGAAAGAGATGTGGTAAGTAGAGAGAGGGGTACCCCAGGAAGCTCTGGGGGCTCAGGGAGGACTCTGGATCTCTGGGAGGAGTCACCAAGCTGATAAGTGGGGGTTGTGTAGTACTTATAGGTTTAGAGGTGTGGGAGAAAATGAATCCAGGTTGATGGGAGGGTGTGTGCAAAGGCCCTGAGGATCCCACCAGTGCTATCACTGTGGCTACCCTCTGTCTAGAAACTATCCTCTCCTACATGGATGACTGTAATGGCCTCTTTAAGGGCCTCCCACAGAAAGGCAAAGAAGCTGGGGTACGCAGCCACTAGCTCTTTCCTCTTCTTGGCTGAGGGCCACTCCTATGTGCATTAACTCACCCACATTCCAAGCTCAATCTCTATCCATGAGCAGAGAGAAGCCGGAAGCCGCAGGCCCCTGCTGCAGTACCTGCTGGCCACCGCAAGGGAAGGCCTTGCCGGGTGAGCAGGGCACCTACATCCCCTCCTATAGCTCCACAGTTTCAATGCTTCCTTCCCCTTATCAACCTCACTTCCTGGTTTTCCCTCCTTGCTCATTCTGTTCCATCTACACTGGCCTTGCAACTTGCCAAAATGAAGGCTCATCTCTGGGCCTTTGTTCTCCCTGGGTAGAATGCTTGTCCCCTAGATATCCACATGGCTCAGCCTCTCACCTCCTCCACATCTCTGCATAAATGCCACCTCCTCAGAAAAGCCACCCCCTGCCCCCGACCACCTTATCTCAGATAGCCACTCGTTTGTTCCCTCTCTACCTTGACAATGGACATGAGTATGAACAAACTCCAGGAGATAGTGAAGGACAGGCAAGTCTGGTGTACTGCCCATGGCATGGGGTTGCAAAGAGTTAGACACAACTTAGCAACTATAAAACAACCTTGCCCTGTTCTCTTCTCCATAGGGCTTACCACCCACCACCTGACATAAGATGTATTTTATTGTTCATGCATTTATTATCTGTCTCTCCCACCAGACTGAAAGCTTTGGGCAAGGACCAAATCTGGTTTTGCTCATGGTGGAATTCTTATAACAGGGTCAAGGCAGTCAATAAATATTTGTGAAATTGATGGTTCTGAAACATAAGTGGTTCTAAAATAGGAGTCCTTCCAGGTATGACTCTCTCAAAGGCTTGTGTCCCTCCCCTACGCTGCCAGTGGACAGGGGTGCCCTCTGAGGGCCAGTCACAGCCAAGAAACTGACAATTTGGGAGCCTCCTTCAACCCTTTCCCATCCAGGCCCATATGGCAGGGGTCAGGGGTCAGCCTGGCCCAGGCCCCTTTAAGCCCCAAGGTGGAGGGGAGATAATCCGAGGGTCCAGGCCTCAGGGATGCCTGGTGAGCCCTGTTTCTCCTTTGGCAAATGTTCCCCCTTCCTTCACAGGGCCTGTGTCTGTGTTTCTGAACCAGAAGGTATTTACACAAAACATCCTGGGTTTGGCGACAAATTCACCCTTAATGAGGAATCCTTAATGAATCTCCTTCTTTCCCCATGCCAGGTGGCTGCAGGGAAAACTAACTGCCTCATCAGTTGAAAGAAGCCAAAGGCCAGGCAAAGCCAAGGTGCTTCGAGGACTTTTAGGGCCACAACTTGGTGGGGGGCCTTTTTTTTTTCAGGATCCAGAAACAGCTGTGGTCTGGAAGCTTGAGCATCCTGGGCCATGTTTGCTCCTGACTTGCGGCGGGACAAGGAGCAAGCCTCAGGATGCAGCTGCGAGATGTGTGATAACTCACCCATACAAAGATGGTTGTGAAATTCAAGGAAGGCAAGGGGTGTGAAAGGGCTTGGTTACAGTGGCCAAAAGGAGGGAAATACAAGCTGGACTCAGGGAGACAAGAGGTCAGAGCTCTAGTACTGGGTCTGCTGTTGACTTTTAAAAACACTCACCACCCTCTGAACCTTGGCTTTTCCAGCTGTACAATGAGGAGTTTGGGTGTGAAGATCTCTAGGGGATCTTCTGATTCGGAAGGGCAGCCACTTTCCACCTGCCTGCTTCTTCTTGGAGATCTTCCCAGCTCCTACAGCCCACAATGATTCACTTTCCAGCACTCATACAGCTCTCTTCTGAGCTGGCACTTCATCACTCACCGCCCTTCCTTGGGTCTAGGTCAGCTATTCCTGACATTGGGTCCAACACAGGGGCTCAATGAAAGTAGAGGTCAAACTGAGTTTTAAGACTCCTGCCTCCTTCCAATCCTGCGGAAAACAATGAGAAGAATTTTTATTCACTCTCATTTTATAAATCGGAAACTGCTACACTTGCTTCCGTGGTTCTCCTCAGGCAGAGGAAGAATGGTTTGATTTCTCCAAAGCCCCATCACTGCCTGCCATAGTATATAAATATTTGTTTTGTCATCAATTGTTTATGTTACCCACTAGATGAAGTAGTGCGAGGGGCAGGGACTTCGTTTTGTTCACTTCCGCATCCTCAGCGCCTAAAAACTATCTGAAGGGAGGGCGAGGTTAAGAGGTTTGGACCTGCAGGGGGCGCTCCAGCCCCGCCCCCAAGCTAGGCCCCGCCTCTCGCGTCTGCTTTCGCACGAGCTTTGGGGCCTGCGCGCCTCCGTTCCTCTTTCAACTGCGCATGCGTACCGGAAGCCTGTGAGAGCGGCGCATGCGCGGACGGAGCTGCAGCGCAGCAGAGCCGGAGGTGAGCTCGATAGGATCGTGGCGTAGCGGAGTTGCGGCTGGCAGGCATCATGCTGTCGCCCGAGGCGGAGCGGGTGCTGCAGTATCTGGTGGAGGTGGAGGAGCTCGCCGAGGAGGTGCTGGCGGACAAACGGCAGGTAGGAGGCCTGTCCGCGGGGCAGCGGCCCGGGTTTTGCGGTTGGGCCTGCGAACTCCTAGGGCAGCGCGCAGGTTCCGGAATCTGGCTCCAGCTTCGGCTCGCTGTGAATTGACCTAGTCTTGTGGGCCAAGGGCTGTGACGACAGACCGGGCGGTTGTGCGATCATTTTGGCCAAATGTCGAATGCGTGGCACGGGCGGTTGTGCGATCATGTTGGCCAAATGTCGAATGCGTGGCACAGCGCCGCGCTTGACTCCTCTATTTGGCACGTATTAAGCTCGTCTGTGCCAGGCCTTTCCTCTCTCGCCATCCTTCCTCTGCCCGTTGCCCAGCTTTCCGGATCCCGACCCATTACCTCTTTGGGCCTTTGGTTTACCTGAACCGCTTTTTCAAAATGCAGTGTCGGGGCCCCCACACCGACCTGGGCTGCACCGCTCCAGTCCAGGCCAGAAGAGGAACAGAAAAGAAGTGTGAGTGGCCTAGTAATCGCGCAGGAGTCGGGATGTGGAAGAAGTGTGGGGCCCAGGCCACTGGAGGGCCGTGGAGACCTGCACAGGGAGTTTAAGGGAGTTTGTGGTGGGAAGAGAGTATGATCTAATGGATTGAGGCTTTGAAAGATCCCTCTGGCTGCTCTGTAGAGCAGGCTATAAGGGGGCAAGGGGTAAATGAGGGGCCAGGTAAGGGATGGGTTTGGGCCTAGGTGGTGGTAATGGGTCATCTCCATTTGGAGATGGCCTCCATGATGCTGAAGTATAGGGGTGAGGGAGTAGGAGGGATCAAGAATGATTCCGACTGCTCATCTCCAGTTAGACTGATTGGAAGCTTGGTCAGTTGGGTATTAAGGGAGAGCCTAGTAAACACTGCATCAGAGTGTGCTGACAAATAGCAGTTAAAGTTGATTGAGTACTTACTGCGTATCAGGTACTGTGCTGACTTAGTTCCTAGGTTAATAACCTTGGTGGTGGGTCCTCTTCCTGTCCCTCCTTTTCAGAGAGGTGAAGTCACACAGGTCATAGCAAGCTGCAGGATTCAAACCTGGGTGTTCCACTCCAGAGCCTCCACCGCCAGGCAGTATACTGCACAGCCGCCTCACTTCCTTAGTAGCTGCTGTGCTGTGACCACCGTCTCAGTGCCAATACCCCTGCCTTTCTGATATAATATTGTTGGATTTCTCAGGATACTCGGTCAGAATCAGCTGGAGGAGTTTGTTCAGGAAGTGGTTTCTACTCCCCTGGTGATTCTGAAATGCCTTGAAGCTTGAGAACTAATGCTTCAGTGGATGATAATAAAAAATTACCCATTTAGTCATTAGACATTTCCCCAGCACCTCCTCTGGGGGGGAAAGACACCTGGGTGAATCATCTTTAAGGAACTGGAAGCTGAGTGGGAGAAGAAGTACCTTCACACATCTGTCCACTCTAGGTAGGACATTAGAATTAACCGAGGAATGAGGCCTTGTTGTCTTTGTTAGGTTTTAAGAGCCCTGGTCTGTTGGGAGTGCTGACCAGGGTAGGAGGTAACTGAGTTCCCTCCTGCCCCTGTGCTTTTCAGATTGTGGACCTGGATACCAAAAGGAATCGGAACCGGGAGGGCCTGAGAGCCCTGCAGAAGGATCTCAGCCTCACTGGTAAGCCTAGCTTCGTTGCTGCAGCCCAGGATGCCTGTTCAATTTACCTTCTAATGCCTTTGACTTATCCCTGTTAGAGACCAGGCAGGAGGCCACAGGTGTGTGGCACAGCCCGTGGAGATGGGAGAGACAGGATTGTAGATCTGACACAGACTGTGGCTCAGGGTTTCAGTTGCTCGCCTCAGTGACAGGTTGTTAGCTGCCAGCTTATCAGTGATGACACTGAGAAAGTGCTGGGGGTATAAAAACAGTGCAGTTCCTGCCCTTGTGCTCCACAGGTGAGTCAACAGCATAAATACAGAATTGAAAATCGTGAGAAAGTTGAAGAAGGAGGTGAACACAGGGCTGGAGAGAATGGGATGGCAGCTCTTTAGGTGAGGCTAAGTGGTAGTGATAGAGGAAGCAATGGGGGGGGGGGGGGCATGTGATCATGCTGGAGAGATGGGCAGAGGGCAGGCCATGATGAAGGGCCTCAGGAACCAAGCACTTAAAGTGCACTGGAAAGCCTGAAACCTTCCAGTTTTTTGTCTCACCAGAGTAAACTCCAGAGTCCTGCAGGACCCCGTGTAAACCGATTTCCTTGACTCTCCCACCTTGTCTCCTCTGCTCTCGTGCTCACTCATCACCTGCACCCTCGCTGCTCTCCTTGCTGTTCCTAACACCTTGGCACATTACTGATCTTTGCTGTTCCTGGTTCCTCTGCCTGGCCTGGTCTTTCCCTAGATGTGTGTCTGTAGGGTTTACACACTCCTCACTTTCTTCAGGTCTCTGTCCAAATGGCACATAATCTGCAAGACCTTCCCAGACTGCCTGGTATAAGTAACAAGCTCCTCCCTTTGGCATTCCCCATCTCTTCTTTCCCCGCTTTAGTTTTCTCTTAAGATACCTTTCAGGGTCTGACGAATCATTTCTTTATTATCTTGACTTTTCTGTTTATTCTCTCTCATCCACTCTAACATAAGCTAGGAGGGCTGGAATTTCGTCCTGTTTTGCTGTGTTTTCAGCATTTAAAGCAATGCCTGGCATCAAAATATTTGTTGAAGGAATGACTGTTTGCCGTTTCAGAAGACGTGATGGTTTGCTTTGGGAACATGTTTATCAGGATGCCTCACCCTGAGACAAAGGAAATGATTGAAAAAGGTAAGCCTCTTGGGCAGGGGTCAGGAGCAGCACACTGCCCCCCCATGCCACACCTTCCCCACCCCTAATCCAGCTTCTGGCAGCTTGATGAGAGGTGGCTGTGTGCATTTTAATTTTTGTTGTGCCACTAAGTTGTTGCTTCATCTCTAAAGGGGGAGACATCTACATAGCACAGTTATTGTAAAGTTGAGATAAAATAATACATGTACCTAGCATAGTGTTTGTTTGTCATTGAGGAATGAGTTGGACTGCAAATAACAGAAATCTAGCAGTTAGTAGGACTTAAGGAAATACATTTCTGTTCATCTCATGTAAGAAGTTGTCCAGAGATGGGCAGTCCAGGATTGGCACAGCTGCTCAACAGAGTCAACTTAATGTATTCTCTTGGTGGTTGTGTCATGATTGCAGGCCTCATGTCTGAGAGCCAGGCTAGAGGAAAGGCAGGAGGGCTTTCTCCATATGGCCTTGCCTTCTGTTTTGGAAATAAGACCGTCCTCCTCAGGGACTTCTCTGATACCTCATTGGTCAGATCTAAGGCACGTGCTCATATTTTCACATCCCCTGTAGTAGCATCAGGGTTGAAGATGGAGGTTTGAGGAGGGTGAAGCTCTCGAGTTTGCCATACTCGGGTACACAACAGATCTCACAGCCATGATCCTGGAGGCTTTTTGGAGAAATGTCATGAAAGCAAAAGGTCAGGCTGCAGATGATTCCTTGGCTGGGATAAGGGCAGGTTACACATGTTTTCTCTTCCTCACCCCTGAAAACATGTGGGCCAAGAGAACCAGCAGCACAGTTGCCTCTGTCTCTGAAAACAGGGCAACTCTATCCCTGTTGAAATTGAAATTCTATCAAAGGAAAGTAGGTCAGCTTTGAGGAGAAACTTCTCTTGAAAAACATCCACTAGAGACTTCCTTGGTGGTCCAGTGGTTGAGAGTCCACATTCCAGTGCAGGGGACTCAGGTTTGGTCCCTGGTGGGGACCTAAGATCCCACCTGCCAAAGGACAACTAAGCTTATGCATTGCAGCTAAGACCGATGCGGTTAAATAAATAGACATTTTTTTAAAAAAAGAAAGAAAAACATACACTAATATCATGGTTATAAAATTGAATTGTCATTGCACTTGTGGGGGGACTGGAGGCTGCTCAGAGTAAGCTTCCAGAGGGCCTCGCCTGCCTGGGTTGAGGATCAGGTCTCCGGCTCTCTTGGCCCACGAGTGTGGTCTTGTCACTGACCTAGAGGGGTTCCAGGACAGCATCTCTGGTTCTCAGGGATGGACACAGGCTAAACAAGGTCATGTGAAATGGTGGTTACTCATTTACAGTGAGAACCAGAGCGACTGCCCAGGCCAGAATGCTTAGCTGGTCAGGGCTTATCATCATCAGAAAGAATGAAGGTCTGTAGGAAAGACAAAAATGTCACTCATGAGTGGGTGAAAACAGCAGAGGGAGTTGGTTGGGTGTCATCAGTTGGGTACACTTCTCACGATGCATCTGCCTTTGGGCACAGTCCATTCTGTAAGACAGCCTTGTCTTCCCTGCCATGAATTTGGTTACGTGTGAGCATGAGACAGAACGTTGACTGTTTAGGTCACAGTTACCACAATCCTGCTGTGACGAAAACTCCTCACCTGGATGGATGTGGGTTTGTAAACTTCGTCAGCTGCCTATTTTCCATCCATTTTAGGATAGGCTGGGTCTTTCATTCTTAAATTTGAATTTTCCATAATTTCATTGTGAGAGGGTGACCTAAAATCCTGGTATTGCCTTCCCCATCAACTACCCAGGGTATTTTGCATAATGAAAACAGGTTGATAAACTGCACGTTGGGAAACTAGTATGCTCAACCCTGTTCTGGGCTCACTCAGTGGTTGGGATAGGCCGTGTCCCTTCTTTAGCCTTTAGTTTCTTCCTCAACTAGTCTCCCAAGTCCCATTTTCATCCCTGCATGCTCAGACCCCTGCCTTCAGTGGGGCTGGGCAGAGGCTGG